AGAGGAAACGAAGAAGCATTATTCCATTACAAATTTGAATTATCAATTGAAAACAAATCTAATTAGTGAAATTTCATAGTTTTGATTCAATTTTTATCACACTTGAATTCGTTTTCAACATACACTTTCTGTAACCAATCTCATATTTGACTGCATTTCATTGTTATCTTTTTTCAAGATGTGTAATGTGTTCATTGTCAAATATCTTACTTCTGATATTTACAATACTTTGTAGTTAATTTTAATCCCTAATTATGAGAGTTTATTGTTTCTTGGGACAATGAACTGAACTGAATTATTGATACGAATAATCAAAATAAAAGTTGTTGTTGTTGAAATTTTGCGATTGCAAAACGAGAATATTTAAAATTGAAATTTATGGTTATAATTTTTAAAGGTCAATTCGACCTTGAAAATTCCTCTGCCTCATTTTCATTTGGAGGCAGTAGAGCAACAAAAGAAATCCATAAATTTAAGTTTTTATTCGATTGGCCAAATGCACTTAAATGAAAGCAAAGGCTATGAATTAATTCAGCACAAATTAATAAAGAGATACGGCAGAAATTGAAACAAAGTATATTTACTGCTTTAAGATCAAATATCTTTTTTACAAATCCCACTAGCTGAATACAAATAAAATTGTCACTAACATCTTGACAATTTAAGTAAAATACAAGCTGATGCAAAATCTCAAAAATTAACGTGTATACCAAATATACAAGCTTTTAGTTCAGAATTTATAAGACGGTCTGCAAATCAATGAATGTTTGATGTTTTTCCTGAATGAGTCAATGTTTTGATTGATTTCTTCAACATACTCAAATAAATGATTGTACACACCATTATAAAAAAATAAATCTTCAATTCATTAACGCTTGAGAAAGCTATTGTATAGCGAAACAAACTTTATAGTGAAAGTCATACAATAAACTGTATTAATGAGTTTCAATCTCCAATCAGCTCAGAGGATGGCAAAGTTAGTTTTAATAAATTATTTCTATTGCTAAGACTTGTGCAATACTGTGGAGTGTTATTTTTTTGACAATTGAATAGCTCAAACATTTCTAGTTTATCCAGCACAGAAGTATAAGAAATTACTTGTTCTGAGAAGAAAAATGACACTGTTAAAGGTTCCTCATTAGCAAGTGTCTCATATTTTCCAAATAAATGTTGAAAAGATTGGCTATCTAACTTGGGTCAGGTACTTTCATTTCTTCAATAATATCGTATTTTCTGCTCTCCTTTTTTTCACAATAATCCACATCGGTTGTTTGATGTTAACTAGAAGAGTCATTCTAACAAACATGAACATGAACATAAATATGTCTAAATATTTTGTATTTTCTTTGTAGATAGTACAAGTCTCTTAAAACACACATATCCCTTTTTTTTCTTTTTAATGCCTATGACATTGGACTCAAGCCAATACCAATTTTTTTCACAAACTCTAATCAGGCATTTAACCGTTTTTTACCGTTCAGTTCTTCTACATTTCGTTTAGGCGTAATTTTTACATATTATTAGGATAATTCTTTCACATCGTTTCTGTATCGAAGGGTTTTTTCCCGTTTATGCCAATAAAAATTGAAAGCTTTTGTTTATAATTCGAAACAGGTAACTGACAAAATGTATTGTTACACCTTTGATGAAAATTCTATGGAATGAAACTGCAAAAATATACACACTTGCCCTGGTGTTGTCCTTAATTTGTTCCTGGTACAAAAAAATCAAATTCTATGCTTCATTTCATGTGAATGAATTATTTGTTATTTCAATCGGAAGATCATGAACATGTCAAAAACTTGAAGAAAAAAAGCTCTCCGAACATATTAACAATTGCCACATAACTATGTTTGCAGATTATATCACAATGACAATCACTGGGTCTACACTGGAAAATGTATTAACAAGAGTCAAAGAGGTTATTGATAGATTTACGTCATGGTGTGAATACAATCATTTGATATTAAATACCTCCAAATCTGTTTCGATGAAATTTTATAATAGAAAAAAAAAACATTCCAGATGGAGTTGATATAACTGATGGAATAGCCATGGCACATGATGTTAAATTTCTAGGAACCATGTTAGATGCATCTTTAAATTGGGATTTACATATTGAGAAGAAACTTAATGCATCATTCTTCGCGAGTAAGCAGATGAAATTGCTTGTAGATAAAAAAATCTCTCAAGTATATATTTTGCAATGGCATATC